ATGGATGATGGTATCAGCCGCTCTTTCAGACACTTCATAAGCAACAGTTTGTTTTAAAATAAATTATGCAGTTAATGTCATAAAATATTTTCATAAAATTCAAATAAACATCAAACAAAAGTTCTCAGTTTTATACAATTCAATTTAAATGAAGTTAAAACGAAAGCAGCAGACAATAAAACGCCGAAGATAAAAACTGACTTGCAAATATTTTTTAAAAAAGGGAAGAAAGAGAGTAATTAAAAAAAATAATTAAAAATTTGAGTTATATCATCTATAATTTAAAAAAAATAGCTTTTCATATAGTACTGATAAATATTTATTACGCATCATTGAGGGAAAAGATTTCGTATAATTAATTCTCTCCGTAAAATTTTATTTGAAATTTAAGGTTAAAAATAGCTGTGGCAATTCACTGTAACAAAAATCCATAAACCATATTTGGCGTTATTATCGCTCAAAAGAAAAGATGCCAAATTTCAAAACGCGAAAATATGTAAATACGTGTATATCTTAGAAAATTTTGAATAAAAAAAGTCTAATTTTTTGCAGGTATGCTTAGAAATACACCCACTTTAAGATGATGGTAAAAATTTTATAGGTTATAATTCAAAGTTTTTTTTGAAATATTTATAAAAATTATTTAAAAATAGACATTTAAAAAATAGAACACAAAAAATTGGGTAAATTTTATTTGGAATGAACCTATATTTCGAAATGTGCAAGGAAAAATAAAAAAAGTTTAATAAAAAAGAGATATTGATAAATATTTGCCAAATTCAATTAACATTGAAAAGCTAAAATTTTTTAGAGCTAATATTTTAAAAACTACTCGTGCGATTTTTACAAAACTTGGCATTCTGGCATAATTTGAGTCGTAGAATCCAAATATGGGAAAAAAAAATCTTATTTCAGAAAAAGTCCGATTTTGTGTCAAAATACCTATGTTACAATAGTGCTATATATAAATCTAATATATATATCCTAAGTCGCGCTTTCGAGACATGAAAAACACAGTTTGAATTTTGTCAATCATCCCAGTAGAATGGGAGATATAGCACTGTCCCCCCCTTTTTTTTGGCAGTGTACATACTTACATACATGCAAATATTTGTACATATATGTGTACATACATTTCTGAATCCAGTCCTGGTAACAGAAAAGTACTGTATTTTTTTAATGTGCAGCATATAATCAACAGCAGTGTAATGATAGTTATTTATGATACTGTTAAAAGTGACATTTTATGAGAAGAAAGTTTCAGACATTATGTGAAGCATTATTATTTTTCATTTAAACGTATATTTCTAATAATTTCTTGGCATATGTCAAAAATATTAATTTGTTATTCTGTTTATCATTATCAAAGTAACTAATTCATTTTTAATGCTAGTTTCAAAAGTAACAATGATCCAGTCACTTTTAACACTGGAATTATAAAATGACATTTTTAACCCTAAAAACAATCACAGTGAATATTATTATTAACTATATAATTTATATTGGTATTGGTTTAGTATCTAAGCGAACTCTGTGTTTTAAAAATATAGATAACCAAATAATACTTGCCAAAACATTCTAGTTTAAGTATAAAAAATTGCAGAAAATGTATTGCTCAATGTTGTACATGTCTTACAACAAAAACAGTACTTATGAGGAAATACAAGCAAAGCATCGATTTGTTTGCATAATATCACTGATATAGGTGCAGGAGCAGTAAAGAGCTTTAAAGTGTAAATAAAAACAAAATTTTAACTTACTTTGTATACTAATTCATACAAAATATAAATATATAATAATCTGTAATAAATATATAATAATAATGTACGTACAGAGTACTTATCAAAATATAATAATGTGCATAAAGGGTGGTCATAAAACTTCTGATATAGGAACCCCTACCATCCAGTCTACTCAGTGGAAATTTCAGATATTGTTATTTGAAGGTATGTGCTTGAGATTTTGTAAATAATAGAGCTCTCATAGTTACAGTCAAAGTGAAAAAATTCCAAAATTTTCAAACATTAACACCTACTTTTTTCTATGCAAAATGATTAGCGCATTGAGAAACCATTAATGTCATTAGAACAAGTGATGTATGAAAAAAATTTGTTGGCATTAAACATTTGGAAAAGACCAATGACATTTCAAGAGAGAGAAAAAAACTTTTATTGGAATTGCAAGTATTCAATGTGCCCACCTTTGCAGATGACAGCACATTGCATGTGGGATATTGCAGTTTGAAAACAATGACGAATGTAATATTGCAGGAGAAATCTGCATAACTTCACATTTTACGGCATATTTTCAATTCTGATGAATCATGGGGATTTAATGTGTCCACTTTAAATTTCAGATAACTCTAAAATCAAAAATACATCAGTGAGGTTGGGTGAGGAAATCGTGGTGGCCATGAAACTGCAAAGTTACGGGAGACTGCAAGTTGCAGGAGAAATCTGCATAACTTCATGTTTTATGACATTTCAATTCTGATAAATTTCGTGCATATCATGTATTCGCTCTAGAATTCAGATAATCCTAAAATCAAAAATACATCAGTGAGGTTGATGGAGGGAATCATGGTGGCTATGAAACTCCAAAGTTGTGGGAGATGATGCTTATCTCCAAAGTGCTGTTGCAGCACGTGCTGAATACATATGGTGACGTACCATACAGTTCTGGAATTACGTAATTCTGTAACATTGTTGTATACCAAGCACTTGGGATTGAGTATGTTTTCATACCTGGGGAAGTGACTTCTTTGAAGAAACATGGACCGTGAGCTAATGTGTTTGCGATGCCTCACTGTGTACTTTAGCTTCATATAAAACTTCTGGTACTACATTGTGAGGATTTTCATCAGTCCAGTTAATGCAGTTCTTGGAGTTTTACATTCCCAGTTGAGGAGAAATGTCCCTCATCTATCCATAATATCCATAGTAGCCACTTGCTATCTTCATCATAATCCGATGAGGAATGATGATGATGATGCCTGCAACTTTTGTCATGCATGTATTGTTCCAAGGTCATTTATGGTTTTTCTATGTGCTGATTAACTTGTGCATGAAATGGAGGTTTTGCCATTTGAAAATTTCAGAACTTTTCCTCTGTATTGTTTTAAATCATCACGATCTTGAGTTCATGCTTTCAAATAAGAGTATTTGAAATTTCATTTCCATTGTTTGAGCAGATAGTTCGCTAATGGTTCATAAACCACGGAAATTTTTAACGATCACGCTGTATTTGTAAATTAAAGCATTCTAAAATCGGTATTTTTATTAGTATTTATACTGGGTGTTGCCCAGTGCAGACTGCACCTCCTTAGTGAGGTCGCTGCCCATTTGATTGATGTTTAACAGGATTAATTAAAATATATTTTTTTTTTTCTGTTACTTAGCCCTATAATATTATTTTTGTGATGAAATTATTCATAAATAATTCGACATCCAAATTTTAATAGTAAATTTTTTTAAATTCATAATTACAGGTATGTATATATATAATTAATAATTAGAATACTTCAGAACTTTTCATGACACACTGAATATTGTCTCGTACCCACTGGTAAGTTGTCAGTCACACTTTGGGCCCCTTTCCAGAACTATCATTTGTATCTGGTAGTTTTCTATATGAAGTACTTTGATCCTCAGAATTTTTATTTTCTATTTCAAATTTTTTGTAGAAATTAAAATACTTAGTAGCATTCATAGTAATAATTAATTATCATTTTGATTTTAAAAAGTCCTTTTGAGAGGGAATTTTTTGAAAGAATTTACTTACAATAAGGATTTTTATAACATTGCCTGCATTTAAAAATATTTTAAAACATCTAATATGTTTAAAATAAATCATAAAAAGAAAAATCCTTTGTTTTGCTCTGAAAGTTTGCACTTTGTGGAAACTGCTTAATTTTTCTTATTTAAATGATTTCAATATGTTTAAAATGTGATACAGTACAAAGTCTTCAATCCGGACTCGTCAGAACTTCAGCGATTCCAGATTAGGGGTTTTTCCGGATTATAGATCATCAATTTAAATCTGGTAAGATGGCATGCAGAAATTATAAAATTAAAAATATGAAACTGTAATTTATGAAATAAAGAGCAGAAGAAAGGTTGGAAAGAAGATTTACTTAATTTAAATGTTTCAAAACAGTCATCTGATTCACATTTATTTGTTCTGTTAATTTTCATCAAATTTAGCATAGTTTGTCTTTAATCATGTACTTTGAAACATCATCAGGATTTGCCAATTTTCTGTCAGAATGAAATTCTTAACTCAAAAATTAAAACATACACATTAAAACTTTGGAACTAATTTAGATATGTGCAGTTACTATATTATTATTGAATGTTCCATTTATAAACCATATGTTGTTATATTCATAAGTATTATGGAACAAAAACAAATTTCCACAATTTGTACTTTTGTGTTGAAGTCAAACATCTATGCTTGTTATGATAGTTTTTTTTTTTTTTTTTATTATATATATATATATATATATATATATATATATGCAGTAGATATGATTTTATGAATTCTTAGAACCACAAAAAAGTTTAAGTAGAAATTATATGAATTTGAATGCTATTGAAACATAAAATAATAGATTGCGTTCATGTTCAATGTGACATTTTGTTTGTAGGGGTTTTTGTAAAAAATATTTAGTGATGGATAAATTTATATATTTAGTGATGGATAAATTTATATACACACACGTATATATATATGTATAAATTTATCCATCATTATGACAATAGATTTTGTATCAAGTTTTGAGAAAATACATATTCAGTATAATGTTAGTTTTGTCTTATTTTAAAAGTCAGGTTTCCATGAATAATAGCTTATTGCACAGATCAAATTATTTATTAAAAAATATTTGAAGAAAGTATTTATGTAAATTTTTATCTTAGTAAATTCATTTAATTATGCAAATATTAAAAACTTATGTAAATATTAGAAATAATCCTTTTAATCAGCTAAATTTTTTTTTTCAGAACATCAGAATGTTGAAAAAGAAATAGAAGGTAAGTTTCTTTTCTTTTCTTCTTCTTCTTTTTTTTTTTTTTTTTTTAAACTTTGCCAGCCATTAAAATTGTTACACCTTGAAGGTGTTATGCAACAAATGTCAAATTTTCATGAAAAGTACTATGTGCTGGGATATGCAAATGCTTAGTATTCAAGCGCATGCCCTTAAACATGTATGAATAATGTCACCTTCATTGTGTATAAATGGGAAGATGCACTGTCTTTTCCCATTTTGAATGTTGGTTGCTTGTGTAAAGGTCATGTTATGTCTCGGGTAAGAAGGAGAAACTCCTACTACCACATGCCAGAACTTGACAATGGCCTTTTAGAACTGCAGTTTATCATTTTGTAACATTGCTGCTCATGTTGGTTGGGATCCCATGACTGTCAGGTAAATATGAAATTGATGGGTTCAGGAAGGCCATACCAAATGCCATGCAAGATCTCGGTGGCCCTGGACCACTCACACCCAAGAGAACAGACATGTTATCCTCTGTCTTACGGGATTGTACAGCCGTATTACGTGCTATGAATACTGATATATTTCTGATGTATTAAGCCCATGGTGTTGCTGTGTCTTCAAGGGCTGCATGACACCATCTTTGAACAAGATAATGCACGACTACATGTTGTTCGTGTTGTCCTGATTTTTCTCAATATGGAGGGTTGTCCCCTCTCACCTGTTGAGAACATATGTTCATGAGTTGCTGAGAGACTGGCATGATATTTCTTTCCAGCCACCATGATTGATGAACTCTGGTACAGAAGTGAACACACATGGAATGAAATGCCCGTATCATCCAAGCTCAATTCAACTCGATATCCAGTCAGATTACAGCCATTGTAGCTATCAGTGGTGGTAGCTCTGTGTACTGAATTCTGCATGCCCTATTGCAAGTTTAATATCTTCCTCCTGTTTATATTGTATATATGTATAATATAATAAGTAACATTCTGCTATTTGCTTCCCTTCCTGATGCAGCAAGTTAAATGGTGTATTTTTTGTATGTTATGTGTATAAGTATTTTATAATAGTGGTTTGATTTATGCAAATACAAAAATGAGTTCGTGAAATACAAACATAATGTGAATCGAATGCTCAAACTTCAAACACATTTCATTGTAGGAGATGGTTCAACTTCATGAAATATATTCCCCCTGTAAGAAGTAATAATGTAAATGGAATTGATTCATTTCATTCAAAGTATACTCAGTGCAAAACATTTTAGTAAAATGTAGGGGTAAAAAATCAAACATATTTGTCCAAAAAAAAAATCAGTTGAAATTTTTTTTAAGGATTTTTTTTACATCCTGTACGTATTTCAAATTGTATAAAAATGAAACATTACACCTTTTTTACGATGGAAAATTACGATTTCAAAATGATTAATGACATGTGAATTATGAAATAAGCTTTTTTTATGTATTTTGACATATCTTGGATAAAAATGTATGTGTGTATTTGTTATGATTTGAGGATTATGTTGTCCATCTGTTTTCATAGTTTTGTCAAGCCTATCACATGATAGTAATTTGTTTTTAAGTTCAAAAAATAATTTTTATTCAAACTTAGTCCCTTGTACTAAAACTGACCTCCTTTCTGTTTTCCCATATGTGTACAAGTAGTTTTTAAATAGGAATGTATCAGCCGTATGGCATTTATTGAATTGAGAAAATGACTTATTCAAGAAGAATAAATTTTTTGACTGTGTATTCATCCCTTCTAGTACAGTCCTGAAAATTCTTTAAGTAGACCCAAAAAATGAAAAGTCTGATGATTTTAAATTTGGATTGTGGTGCAGGTGAGGTAGATCATCTCATGTGTGTTGTGAGACTGTAAGTGCTTTGTGTTTTGATAAGTCGAACCTGGTATTCACCTTGGTAAATTTAAAATCATCTGTATTTTTTTCCCCTTTTGTACTGTTTTCCATACTACCAGCACTTATTTTAATTTCCTTAGTGATTTCTCTAACAATGATTCTCCATTTGGCTTGAATTAGCTCATCAACAGCAGTCAAGTTGTTTTAATCAGTTTTAGATTCTCAGCCTACCAGCATGTAGTTCATTTTCAATTATCACCCAGCCTTCTTGAAAAGTTTTATACCAGTCATACAATCCAGATTCGTTAGAGACACTTATTTCAAAATTAATTTTTAAATCTTGAATAAATAGGAGATGGAATGACACCTTTGCAAGTCAAATATGTTACAGTAGAACTCCAATTATCCAAATCAATTGGAACTGGACCCCATTCGGATAATCAAAAACTCGGATAATAGGATTTTTTTCCGAAGAAAGGGTCTTATGTATGCTTTAATTAATTACTGTATGTAAAAACTGTATGTTGAAAATGGGAGAAAAAAACTATTTTTAAAGAAAAAAAGAGATTTTAATGAATTAAAAGGCAGCACTTTTACATACATGTTATATAGCATACTGTATAGTGCCGAACATCTGGGTCAGAGTTAGCTGTTTGACTGTCTTCATCCATTTTTGGGCAGCCAAGTTGCATATCCGCTTGACAAGTGAGAATTTGCATGTGGTCACACTCGGGCTGACTCTCCATCCACCTCAACACGGATTCAAAGCAGCAAAAACTTCATCTTCAACATTAAGGTCGTCTTCTTACTTGATACTTCTTACACTTTCAATCATCATTTAAAATTTAAAACCCAGGGTCTGACAAATCACACACCTTCCATTCTGTTGTCTTCTCAGTGCTAACTTCTGAACATACAGGAATTTTCAAAAGAATGTTTCTTAATTCCTCAAGTGATATATCATCCTCATCTTCTCCTGTCACCTTTCCTTTTCTTGAGCTTTTTCCGTCACTTTTCCTTCACCCCTTTCCTTTTCTTGAGCTTTTTTTTCTCCACTTTTTCAGTTGATTCTGAAAGAAATTTGGATAATTGGAGTTGTACTGTACTATGAAACAGTATAACAAAAACATTTTTGTTGGTGTCTTCATACATATATGAATCTGCCAAATGAATCATTGAATGCGTAATTTTTGAATGCCCATCATATTTTGTTTGTCATTTGTATTTTGTTACTAATTTGATGAAGGTAACTGGAATGTATTAATAATCCAAATATTGATTAATATGTATTAAAAAATCTGATGTGGATGCCACATGACTTCCTTCTATGGAATATTAAATTATACACATTTTTACTGCATTTCATTGAAACTTACTTATTTCATTAGATATATTTCTCATTCAATTAATTCAGGTCTCACTTTGCGTCAAGGCAGAAATGCATAAAAACTCAAAATATCTTCATTAAAATTGAAAAAGATAAAACATCAAGTACAGTTAAAACAATTAAAAACAATTTTTAAAGTTAAAATTACAGTTTCTCCATGAAAACAAGCAATTCGGCCAAATGGCAAGAAGGTAGGTTTTTCGGTGCACAAAACTGACACTGAAGGTGCAGAAATCAACTTAATTCAAATGTTTTGCCCAGTTTCAAATGTAAGCAAATATGGCTGCAATGGTAAAATAATTAGGATTAGCCGCACTTAACCTTCCAGCACGCGCGTGTCGTATTTTTTGCAACATCTGTTATTTTACCGTTTTTGGCATGAAAAACGACATAAATGAATGAATATTAATAATAAATTTGTTAAGAAATAAAATATTAATCTTATTATTACAAAATACAAATGCTATTGCATTCAAACATAAGTAAATTATTTTTAAGTTCTTATGTTAATGAGATGGAAATGCAATGATATATTTTATTGTAGAAAATTTTAAATTTATTATTTAATAATTATAGTTTAAAATCGAAGCTAATTTTAATATTCATCAAAGACAAGTATAGACAATAAAAAAGGAAAACACCTTGGTAGGGAAAAAAGTAAGTTTAGCATTACTTACTTCTGCAAGGAAATTTACCTCTTATTTGTTACAAAAAGGCACTTTAAACTAACTTTAATGTTTTTATTTATTTTTAAAAAAATAGAAATAAAAGAAAATAAGGACTGGAAATTGCTATTGTTGTCCCATCCAAACGTTTCCTTGTCTTGCTTTTCTTCATCAGATAATTTGAGAAGAATCCGAGCAAAATCAGCTGGTTGCACATGTTTTTTTTTTTTTTTTTTTGCCATGAAAACCGAAATAAAATTTACAGAGCCAAATAAATTCAAATTAAAATAATACACGGCAATTAATAACACAAAGTTACAAAATATTAAAGAAAAAAATATTTTCTGAATTTTAAAACACAACCACGTGCGTGTCGTAACTTTTATGAAAAAGCTGCCACATAGCACAAAAGACCAGTTAAAAAAAAAGTCAAATGACTTCCTGTTGGCACATTCCATGATGTGGGGGAAGGGTAGAAAGGAGGAATAGAAATGACCTTCAGACGTCTTAGCTTCAATATGCTAAAAATTTGCAATAAAAACTGAATTTGTCGTAAATTTTCAGAATACGCGTGTGCTTGAAGGTTAAACAACATTTAAATTGTTGATAATTCTACAACTATTGCATGCAGATTAACTAAAGGCATGAAAACCTTAACTGGAAAATAAGAGCAACATAATTGTACTTTTGGTGTGGCTGATTGCAACCAAAGAGAAGGCACACAACTGCATGTTGTAGCAGCCCTATATACAAAATTTCAACATTCCGATGCTACTCGTTTTTGAGTTATGCGAGATACATATGTATATACGTACAGACGTCGCATAGAAAACTTCTGAATCCATCTTACATCCTTTCTGCAACCCATTTTGGGGAAAAGGGTCCTTTATTCTGTCCTTATGTGCAGATATCATGCAAAAACATTCTTAAATTGCATTCGATAGTGGTCAAAATGGATATTTTCGTTGAAATACGATACCTGAAAATTTTCGCGATTTCAGTTCTTCCTTTACTTTGTACAAGGATGTAAAAATTATAGTTGCTGGTTTTAGAACATAATTTCCCAATCGGGGGGGGGATTCCTCTCTGGAGGCATTCCATAGTTTCAGGGGGATGCTTTTATTTATCCATTAAGCATTTAGTTTTAAGATTCTGAATATAAAATCTACAGTTATCAAGTTTTGGTATTTATCAGTATTTCCTATGCTGCTGCTTCTTTAATTTATAAAGCATTAGAAAAGAATCTAAAGTAAATGTATAAGCATTTTTCGAGTTTTCAAAAAGAGAAGGGAAATGACTGTCCATTAATATTAAAAGAGTGCATTATGGCAGTAAAGGTTGAGAATAATTGTTTTAGACGTTTAAAATTTCATTTAGAATGGAAGAATATTTTCATTGTAAAGGTGCATTCTGTAGTGAATTCTGTTCCAAATTTTGTATGAATCTTCAAATATTTCTGACTTAAGTAGTATGAACTTTTCTTCTGTGAATGGGCTTTTATTCTTATTATTTTACAGGTTTTAGGAAGAGTGAGACCAGCTCAAAAGTGAGGTACTATAATGAGAGTATAGAAGAGGCATAGTTCCTTTTGGAGACACAGGCTAAGAATATTGTGTAAACTGTGCTACTGGGTCCAATGGAGTTGAAATTAATTTTCTGAAATTAAAAAAAAAATAGTGGTTGCAATGTTTTAGTCACTTTATTTTTTTGTTCCTGAACAACTCATAAACCTGCCATTGGTGGTATATTATAGAGATGTTGCTTCGATATATATAGACATGAAAACTGATTACAGTAGCAAATTTGAATGTGTTATTCCAGGGACAATTGAATGTGACAATTTTGGAGTACAATTTCGAACCACGTAATCAGTATAATGCCTTCTGGCTCTAGTGCTGTGATTTCTGACTTTAAATGGATAGTTATAATTGTAGTAACTGAATAAATATTCTTTTTAAATGGAAGCATATGCAAGCAAGACTGAATAGTTAATAAATATTTGTTCAAGAAACTTTTTTTAAGATGTTGCCTCAAATGTGTTATGTATGAAGACACTTTTCCAGTTATTTATATAGCAGCCGCTCGATAATACCGACATTGTTACTACAGTCCTATTTGTGCAGATTTCAGACAGAAGCCAAGAGCTGAGTAAATTTGATGGCCAAATAAATCGCCTTTTTCAGAAATCTCCTATGCATGTTTAAAACCCTGCTTATCATTATAGGTAACTAAAAAAGAATCTACTCTTCAATGTAAGATTTTTGGAAGAATAAATTTCATTATATATATTTGCCTTACTGTATAATTCTTGGCGATTAACAAGTTCTGAAACGTAAGCTATTATATGTAAATGTGGAAGCAGTTTTTACTATATATCAGAAATCTTGCTTCTGAGCCATGTTATTTTTTCATATCGCTTTATTTCTGTGCTTACAGATTATCGAAATGTAAATCGGATGCAACAGTTAAATGTGCACACATTTCTTTCTATAAATTATTTAACATGAATTTAAAAAAAAGAGAAAGCAAGCAAATGAGTGGTTGACTGTGCTGGCACAGACCTAATATTTTCATCATATTAAGTAAAGTTATTTATCAAATTAGCTTTAAAAATTTCAGTGTTTTTCATGCAACATGGATTTTAGATTGTTCTCGAGCTAGTGTTACTAAACTTTTGTGTTACAAATCTGAAGTCTGTATGTCTGAAATTGTTCTGAGTATTAATTCTTAAAATTAAAAAAGATATTATTGAATGCACTTTTTGAAGTTGATAGGAGTTTTATAAATTTTATTTGGAATTAATTATTATTATTTTTAGTTTTGCCTGAAACATGAATAAATTTCTTGGCTCTGTGCAATGGTTGTGATTATTTATTCAGTAAAAGCTTTATACTGTTATCATATATGTGTAAATAGGTTGAAGAATGAAAACAATTTTATCTATTAACAAATCATTATTTCAAGTGTATTTGATGTCGTAATTCTTAAAATTGCCTTGTTTCTACATTAATATCAAGTTCTGCTTAAAGCATATTTTAAAATGTAACAGCATTAGTTTTATCCACATAAATGTAAATCATCAAAAATTTCTTTGGAATCAAAAATATGAATGTGTGTTTTAGTTTTAAAAATGTTTATTCGTTTTTGTCAATTATTTTAAAGGGTATTTTTAAAACTGTGTAAAATAATAAATATATGAAATAATTATATTCAGCATTTTCATTAGATTGTTATGCCATATTTATTATGAATGTTAATATTTTATGTTTAAATTTTTTTAATTAAAGTACTTTATTACATTTTATTTGCTGGTAATTATACTGTTAAGTTGTCAGTGTGTTATAGTATTCCTGATGCCAAAGAAAGGTTTCATCCGAGTGACTATTCCTTTAAGTATTATAACAATAAAATTTAAATAATTGTCCTCATTTTTATCCGAAAACTTTAAATTTTAATGTGTATATTGCATAATACTTTTCATTTTACTTCTTTATACAGCACTCTTCAAATGCCTTATTTTTTGGAAGGTGTATAACATTCATAAAACATTTATTAGTACCCCTTTATTTAGATTTTTTAATAAATAATGCTTTAAAAATAGAATTTAAAGTATTTCCTTTACTGTAGTTGCAGTAGTAAAGTTAAATATTTAATTTTCTAATGTTCTTTGATAATTAGGATGCAAAATATTGTATGACATTTTCTCCAGTTTTTTTCAGTTAGAGAGGAATAAGTATTTGAATTTTTTTAACCTCCCTCTTCATTAAATATTGTTTTTCATTTTTACATAAAATTATTAGACTAACAAAAGTGCTGATTGTTATTTAATACATATAAATTCTTTAATGTATTTAATATTGTGCTGCATTGTTTTTTATTCAAAATATATAGAAGCATGTTTTTAAATTCAATGTATATTAAAATATAAAATCCTGTAGAGGAAAATAAATGTTTATTTAAAGGATAATGAAAAATTATAAATATAAATTTAGCTATTTAAAATTTATAAAATATTTTTTTTTAATTTGTTCCCCCTTTACACACACTGTATGAAACTTAAGTGGTTGTATTTAAGATTTTTGGCATTTTATTTGAATGTGTACACTTTTTTAAGTAAGTGAAATCACGACTGCAAATTAATGCTCATGCAAAACTTCTAACCTTTCATTATACTACAATAGAAATTATAACCATCTTGCCATTCTTCCATTTTATACCTATTACTTTGTTGTTTTTGTATATGAATTTAAAATATTTTAAAATGAGAAGTAATGCAATGTTGAGAAATAATTCTAGATATGCAGAACAATTATCATCAGGCAAAAAGGTAATATGAAATATGTTAGTTATTTTGACAAATCGAGGGGGAAAATTAATTTAATTCAGTCTTACTGTATAAGACAGAGAAATTGTAGTAATTAAAAAAGAATTTGATGTTACATGACTGACAAATTGCATTTACTTTTTCTATGTTTGTTTAATCAGCTTCATCTCCTAGTTATTCCCAAATATTTAACTTTTGTGATCACTTATTAATTTCAATAAATATATTATTTCGATGAAAATTAATATGCTTTTTTATGAAAGATATCAATACATTACTTTTGTATCAGCGTAACAACCTTAGATCAAACTTAGGCAATCATGAGTATAAAAGTTCAGTTTTAACAAGCAACATCATCTTCTTTTATATATGTTCGTTTTGTAGTATTTTAAGTTAAAACAGTTTTCATTGACAAATCATGATGTCTTTTATTTTGAACTCTATTTTAAAACAAGTACTTGCGAGATTTACCTAACTGCAGTAAAATTGTTGTAGGAATACAATATTTTGTCGTAAAAATCTCTAAAAGATAGCAACTGCTTGTTCTTAAAGCATTCATGTAAAATATCCAACAGAACAAAAGAAGCAAAATCCTGCTTATAAATAGGTTTAGGATTGATTTTCAGAATAAGACATACTTAAAACATGTAAAATAAATTACATAATGTTTTGTGATTAGAATTTGTCATTCTTTTTCTTTTGTGAAAAATCACCAAACTGTGTGAAGGTAGTTGTGCTAATATGCAAATACCATGTTACCTCCACTCCCCCCTAAAAAAAACAGCTTTTTTCTCAGCTTAATTTTTGAAAATTTATTTTGGCTTTATTTTCCTCTAGGTTTAAAAATCTGTTTAAGATATCTTGCAGTGTACTATGTATACAAAGCTAAAGGCTATAAATTCACTTTCTTATAAAATTTCAACCATTTTTTCCCTCATGGTTCTAAGTTTAAAAAAGATAAGAATGCTGCAATTAAAAACAAAACACTCCCCCCCCCCAAAAAAAAAATTATAATGAAAAATTTGTATCAGGGCTTGCACATTGTGAAAAGGTAGTGTGATGAACTCTGCACATGTCATTTTTATAAAATCAATAAATTATATCAAATTTTTCAGTTTTGGGTATATATTTAATTTCTTTTATTTTATTTCAAACATATAAATCTCAAGATTTTCGGTACTTTCTGATTTGGGTGTGCTAGGAGGTAGAAGTTGGAAAAGTTTTGTTTTCACTGTTAAAACACTACTGTATTTTAGACTTGTAATGTAAGCAATTTATAATTATGGTTTAGTGATTCTCTCAAGTAAAGTTTAATTGTAATGCTGTTGTATGTGATTTGGAAGCTGGGATGATTTACATTAGATCTGAAGGATATTAAATATTTGCTCAAGTTATGTGTATTTTGCTCAAAATGTAAATTCTAGGAATTTTCTGGTTTCAAAAACATTTTATAATGATGGTTAAAATGTTTGTGAAGAATTTGCATTAAAAATAAGTATCAGATATGTTCCTTTTTAATGCAAAACCCCCTTTATTGGGTTTATTTAATATCAGTGTTTCCTCTTTTGGTAGATCAAGAGTTGTATCAATTTTTCAGGAAAGAATGAATCTATTAAAATTAAATTTGTAGTTGGAACTCTTTTTTTTTTTTTTTTTTTTGTTTAATATGTAGTTTTATTATTTTTTTTCAGTTTAATTTTTTTTTTTTTTTTTTTCTATGTAGTTTTTTGCAGTTAAGTTTGTATTTTGTGAAAATCTTTTTTTTCCCTAACTTTTGTATGATCTGCACCTACCAAATCCTTATAATTTTGAAGGAGTCCGTATTTTCTCTGTGTAATCATCTTTTTTAATGTAACTTTCAAAACATTTCTTGAATTTTTCTTCATTTTTATTTTAAATGATTATGTAATGTTTATTTAAATCATTATGTATATTATACACACACCAATCTTGATTCTGCATTTTTTATGGTTTTAACTGTGTTATTTTTCAGTATTCTAAATTTATTAAAAGGATGAGATGCATATCTTATGAGATTAATAGAGGATGCATATCCTATAGGATTAATAGAGGAGGGCTATTAAAATTATAATTCATTTTTTTTTAAAACTAAGCACATGCAAAGCATTTAAATATATTTGTTTTGAAAAACCAGGTTTTCAGACTCTTTGTCATACAGGTGTTGATATTTTAAAATATAACTCTCCTAACTAGATGCAAAAAACATTATGTATTGCTTCATGATATTGAGCATTTAAATCAGTTTTAAGTTCTAACCAGCATTATGTCGCTTTTATAGTCTTGGAAATATACTTTTACATAAATTGCAAAACATGGAAATATATCACTGCTTTCTTCTTTGATTAAATGACAGACTGGTTTATTATAAAATTTATTATGATTGCCCTGGTATTTATTTCTGTAGAATTTTTCATTTATTATAGCTTAATTAAAGCAATATAATCAAGTTATCAATAATTTGGAGTTAAATATATCGGAATAGCCGTCTGGGATAATTATCATTAGCCAAGACTGTGATTTCTCCCCTCTTTCAGAAGATAATTAAGAATTTAAAAAAAAAAAAAAAAAACTTTAAAGTACACTTCTGAATGTAAAGCAGTGAGTTGAAGGTTATTTCTAAAAATAAGTCAACGCAAATAGATATTTTTAAAATTAGTAAACTAAGTAAAGATTGAGAAGTTTTAATTTAGTTAATATGAAATACAATTGTTTTTGTTTCCCACTAAATAGTGATTAGAAGATAAACTTTATTACAAAATTAGGTAAACAGGTTATTTCTGTGGAATACAGTTTATTGCTTGCAGGAGGGGAAAAAAAAAAAGTTTTTGCAATTGAAACTTCTGGCAGTTTAAAGGGTTAAAAATATTCGTGCATGTTCCGAATTTATGAGCATGCATTAAAAAAGTCTGTTAGGTTAAACTGCATGCTACTATAGAAGAATTACGTACTTTTAATAAAAATTGGTAACATTTTTATATGGCTTTTATAACAGTTATGGCATGAATATAATGTATTTAAGCATATTAATTTATATTTTTATTGCTGCAGTTATACTACTGTGATAAAAAAATAGGAATCATTCTGTAGAACACAAGATTTCAATTTATAGGTCAATTTTTGTTATATCTCCTGCTGATTAAAATGCACTCATGCTAATGATTTTTCTAATCTTTAAAAACATGTCATCGTAACTTTTTTTTGGTGTGTGTATGTTATCTCTTTGCGACTTTGCAGCAGTTTTATTTTATTGCATCAATGGATAATTGTGGATGTAAGAAAAAGTTATATGATGCCCTGGTAATGAATACAGAGGTGTATTTGTTGAATTATTGGGCCAAAATTCACAAACAGGAGCATTGTTAGCTGATGCACTACTCTAATGTGAAATCTGTGAATTACTTTGCCACAATTTAGGTCATATTCTATGAATTGCTTCATGCAGGTACTGTAAAGCACTCCATTATTTTTTTGTCAACAAATTTGACCGGTTAATAGAAATTCTTGATGCACAGTACCACAAGGACCTTGACTTTTGGTAGGATCTTTTCAATTTTGCTTCACCTTTTGAATGCTATTCATTCAATTGTTGAGCTGTTTCTGTATAAAAAATGTAGAGCAATATTTCATTGCCAGTAATGTGTTTTGAGAAAGCATCTCCTGGGCTACTTGTATATGTTGTTTTTGGAATAGCTTGAATGGTCTTTCAAAATTACTTGTCAGGGTTTAAATAATGTAGAAACTTATTCAATAACATCCTTAATTATCAAATGAGAATCCATGTCAATCTGTGATTTGATAGATATTTTATTCATTAGTTGAAGTAAATGGTGTATCAGTATATGGTTAATTTTCAGTGAATTTTATTCTTTCTTGAAATATTGTATGCCATTCAGAAACTTTTGTTTTCGCTGATAGCCCAATAGTTTTTGCTTGAGAAATTCCATTGCAAATACAAAACTTAATCCACGTTCTTTGCTCTAATGTATTCAGCATTTTTAGAAATTACCAAAATTAAAATGCTTTACTCATTAATTATGAATTTATTTGCAATCATAGGAAATGAAGTAGAGACTATTGCTAGAT